CACACACACACACACACACACTCACAATTGCACACACACGCTCACACACACTCGCTCACACTCACACTCCTGTCACACACACTCACTCTCTCACACACACACACATTCCTGTCACTCACACTCTCTCGCTCGCTCTCTCACACACACTCACACTCTCACACACTTGTACACACTCACTCACGCTCACATACGTACACAAATGCTCGCTCACACTCTCACACACTCTCGCACAGACACTCACTCTCACTCACACACTCCTGTCACACACACTCTCTCTCTCACACACACACACATACTCACACTTGCACACACACTAGCTCACACTCACACTCCTGTCACACACACTCACTCTCTCACACACACACACATTCCTGTCACTCACACTCACTCTCTCACACACACACACACACATGTCCACACTCTCACACACCTTCACACTCTCACACACTTGTACACACTCACTCACACTCACATACGTACACACATGCTCGCTCACACTCTCACAGACACTCACACTCTCACTCACACACACACACTCACACACTCCTGTCACTCACACTCTCTCTCTGTCTCTCACACACACTCACTCTCACGCACACTCGCTCACACTCACACACTCGCAGACACTCACAATCGCACACTCTCGCACACACTGACACTCACACACACTTGCTCACACTCACTCACACACTCAAGCAGACACTCACTCACACACTCTCGCAAAAACTCACATTCTCACACACTCTTGCACACACTGACACTCACGCAGACACTCACTCACACACACTTGCAGACACACACACACACACACGCATACACTCATGCACACACTTGCTCACACTCATTCTCTCACACACACACACACACACACACTTGCTCACGCTCACTCTTACACACACACACACTCTCTCTCGCTCTCTCACACACACACACACACACTCTCTCTCTCTCTCTCACACTCTCTCTCTCTCTCTCACACACACACACACACACACACAGTGTTTCTGGAGAAAAATCCAGCTCAGCTCATGCGTCTCTCTCTCTCTGTGGAAGTAGGCCATGTAAAGATAGCTGCTTCAAGCAGCCTAAGTTCTGACCCCTAAAATATCAGCGAGAAACTGCGGCGGATGGAGTCGCATCTGTCTCTGTACGTTTGTGTGACGCTTCATCGTTTCTGCTTTAGCTAATCACAGATCTGATGGTTGCCGTGGCGACAGGGCCTGTTTCTTCCAGCCTGTTGTGTTGCACGTCACAGGAAGTGCAGTGGATCCTCCGACATCATAGTGTGTGTGTGTGTGTGTGTTTGTTTTGGTTCAGTTTTGTAAAAACTCCAGTTACATTCATGTACAGTTGATACTGATATGCAAAATCATTGCATTTATCATATGCATTTATTTTTGGCCACATTAAATACCAGAGCCACGTGTTTTTCTCTTCTGAAGACACTGGAGAGAGAGAGAGAGACAGACAGGTCACTGGAGGCCCTCCTGTAATATGCCTGCCTGTATCTTTCTGTGCTTATGGAGACTCGACCCTTCTGCTGTAAAACAGAGACAGACAGCCAGACGGAGGACGAGAGCAGAGAAACAGAAAGAGAAACCAGCAGCAGCAGCTTGAGAAAGAGCAGCTGTGAGAGAGAGAGAGAGACAGGCTGAAGTGAGGAGGGGAGCAGAGAGCTGAGCTCAGAGAGAGACGCTGGTGTTCAGAGCGCAGATCCCCCCGCCGGCGCGAGCAGTGGTGCGGCCCGTTGCGCTCAGAGCTGTTATTGTGCGGCGCTGCAGCACACAGAGACAGACACACGGAGCTTCACGCTTTCTCAGCCTCATTCAGGAGACACCGCGGCAGACGACGAGCTACAGACGGTGCTGAGACCTTCCCCACCTCCGCCGCTGGCCTCCATCCCTTACTCTCCTTAAAAGAAGAGGAGAACGGAGGAGGAGGAGGAGGAGGAAGAGCGCCCCCTCCCCTCGCACCAGCAGAGAGAGAGAGAGAGAGAGAGAGAGAGAGAGAGAGAGAGAGAGTGTGTTTTATTCCTCCCTGGTTCGGCTCCGTTCTTCTCTCGGGAGCGAGCGGCTTGCCCATGTCTGTCAACTCAGAAAAATCTTCTTCCCCAGAAAGGTAACATCATCTTCATCATCATCACCTTCATCATCACACTCTCGCTGTCTGTCTGTCCCGCTGTCCTCCATTTCATCTCTTCTGTCTCTCTCTCTGTCTGTCTGTCTGTGGCTGATATGAAGTCAAGCACAGAGAGGTGCTGTAATGTTTCATGCTGTACACACACACACACACACACACACACACTCTCTCTCTGGTGTTCTTCATGCTGGTCTCTTGTGCAGCAGCAACGCTACATATATTGCGGCGTGTGTCGTCACAGCACTGTTATTTGGGGCATCAGAAGCAGATCTCAGAAACACAGAAAGGGTGATTTTGCAGCAAAGAAATTCCTTCCTCAACCGTTGCATTATGAAGACGTTTTAATGTATTTCACAGAGCCAAATGAACATGCATCTCAGAGGATGTGCAAGCGAATAAACACCCACATTTAGCGTCACGTGACTGAATGAGTGTGAACATGAATCTCGAGCTCCAGATGAGCTCCAGATGTGTGTACGGCCGATGTTCCCTGAATGTTCAGAAGCATGATGTGATGTGTGATCTAAAACTTCCTGATGGACAGACACAGACAGACGTACAGTAGGCTAAAGTGTCAGGAGAGAGCTTTTGTTGGCCTGCAGCGTGACAGAGATGCACTGGAGGATGTCTGTCTTGCCTAAAATTAGATGTTCGGCTGTGAATCTTGAGCTTGTGAAGGTCCCCAGAGGCGGGTCACGTGAGCCTCTACAAAACCCTCAGTCCAGCTCTGATCATGTGATCCAGATGTGTTATTAAGACATAATCCAGGACAAATGCTCCTCCAAAACGACCTCACTGAAACCAGCAGGTTCTGGAAATAGACTGATCTGACCCATCCGACAGTGAGGCACAGGCTGTGCTAGTTAGGATGGATAGTGAGAGGGCTGCGTGTCTTGGCGTGCTGATTTCCATCTTAACGGGCCAGGTTTGTGGACGAGTGTAGACGTGATCATGACCAATCTGCCTCACACAGTTAGCAGGCTAATCAGATGATGTGGGTCATAAACAACAACAAAAACAGGGCAGAGAGGAGCTGGGATGTTTGCGTTGTTTGGTGAACGGCTCAGACCTGCTGACTAGCACACTACACCCAGCACAGAGACAGCAAGTCAAGTCACCTCTGTTTATATAGAGCTTTATACAATACTGATTGTGTCAAAACAGCTTCATTCTGATTGTGACTGTCAAACAGCAAAATAGTTTGTCAATAATGCAAGAGGACAATAACAAAGAGTCGTTTTCCAGCTAAAGTCTGTCCATTGATGATTCAGTGATTTGGGGGTTTGGGGGGTCTGACCCCCCTAAAGAAGGCTTTATCCCCCCTGATGGACGTCAACACTAGATGTAAGGGGGGTCAGATAGAAAGAAGAATAGCCTACACATAATGTGGAGATTTACTTGTAAATATTAAGATGCATTTCTATAGCCTTGACTGATTAAAAAAAATAAAAAATTTGGCAGCTCCTGAAATGAGCCGTTCTGACATGACCTGAGCGGTTGAAGAATACGCTATAGCACTGATTCAGAGACGTGCATTTATTGCTTGGACGGAGCAAGAACACCTGAAATGCATGTGTAGATTCAGTCGAGTGATAAAGTTTACCCTCTTCAACTTAATGCTGTTGAACTGAATTTACAGAGCAAACTGTTTGCTAAAATAACCATAACATTAACATCACCGCTAGCTGAAATACAAGCGCACGGTTCTGTCCGTCAGATGCGCGTGAAAGCTGCATGTGTTACTATAACAAACACTGCGTGTTTTCTTTCAGAATCATCACTGGCTGGTAGAAAGACAAAAATAGGTTACATAAAAGTTTTTAACCTAAAAATGAAGATAAAGTAAAGGTGTGAATAATTACATTTTAGACACATTGTCAGTAATTTCGCTAACGAAAATAAAGCCCTAGGAGAACTGTTGTGCATCTCTGATCAACACACAGCGGTGTTTCATTAATGAATCCACGTTTTTAAATGAATCGAGTGAATCAGTGATTCAGTGAACCATTCATAAAGGCAGTTGCTTCGTTTCTGAATGAATCTGCCGTTTGAACGAATCGATTGATTGAATGACTCTGAATGACCTACTGCCGTGTTTAGTTTTATGTTTAGAGTATCGGTTCTTTTTTTTAATAATTTCATATTTCACTATTTATTTGCATGTTTGTATGTTGAATTTAAATATTTCTTTCTAAAGCTACTTATATTTCAGCTACTTTTTTGTAATGTCTATTCAGTGATTTTTTTTCTAAATTAACACAATAACTATTATCTTTAATAATAACTTTATCTTTAATAGGCACATGATGTGCATGTTAATTAATTAATCTCATTAATTTGAATTATTAATCAGCACATTATGCAATTAGATTTTTTTTTTTAAATAAGCACTTGACAGCCCTATTTAAAACATTAAACCCCCCCCCCAAGTGCTCTGACCCCCCCAATGGTCACTGTGTAATTCACACCATGGATGTCATCATCCAGGTCAGATCTCTTCCAACTGTGTTTGTGCAATCAGTCAAGCGTCCCCAACTAAGCAAGCCAGAGGCGACAGCGGCAAGGAACCAAAACTCCATCGGTGACAGAATGGAGAAAAAACCTTGGGAGAAACCAGGCTCAGTCGGGGGCAGTTCTCCTCTGACCAGACGAAACCAGCAGTTCAATTCCAGGCTGCAGCAAAGTCAGATTGTGCAGAGGACTCATCTGGTTCCTGTGGTCTTGTCCCGGTGGTCGTCTGAGACAAGGTCTTTACAGGGGATCTGTATCTGGGGCTCATCTAGTTGTCCTGGTCTCCGCTGTCTTTCAGGGCTGTAGAGGTCCTCTCTAGGTGCTGATCCACCATCTAGGTTGGATATGTACTGGATCCGGGTGACTGCAGTGACCATCTGATCTGACTACAGTCTGGATCTGAGTGGCTCCCGGTTCCGGTTGTCCTAATTAATGCAGCCTAACAATCCTTTAACGGATTTGAATATTAGAAATGTGTTAGTGTGTTATGTGTAAGCCAGGTTAAAGAGATGGGTCTTTAATCTAGATTTAAACTGACAGAGTGTGTCTGCCTCCCGAACAATGTTAGGTAGGTTATTCCAGAGTTTGGGCGCTAAATAAGAATTTTGTTTGTATGTTTCATCGGGCCGTGACGAAATATAGAACTGAGTATCATCAGCATAACAGTGAAAGCTAACACCGTGTTTACTGATGGTATCTCCCAAGGGTAACATGTAAAGCGTGAAGAGTAACGGCCCTAGTACTGAGCCTTGAGGTACTCCATACTGCACTTGTGATCGATATGATACCTCTTCATTCACTGCTATGAATTGATGGCGGTCAGATAAGTCAGATTTGAACCATGCCAAAGCAATTCCACTAATGCCTACATAATTTTGTAGTCTAATCAAAAGAATTTTGTGGTCAATAGTGTCAAAATGTCAGGAAGTGACCATCTGAACGCCATAATAAAGCTTCTGTGTGCCAGATCTGATGAGTGGGATCTCTGGTTCAGTTTCTAGTAAGTGTCTCAATCAAAATCAGTCAAGTATCTTTCAAAGAATAAATGTCATGAAGCTCACAAACGTGCGACTAGATCTTCCTCAGATTAATTCGTAGCAGAGAATTTGTAAATCACATCAGACGGTCAGTGAACGGACTGTGACAGACGACTGGCGGGCAGTCCAAAGTTTATGCCAAGCGAACTGTTAACGTAACCTTAGCAGTGTAATGAGATCAGGTCAGTGTTGGAGATGGCATCAGGTCTGACGATTACTGCAGCAGTAGCATGGCCCAGTCCAGCCTAGCATCCATGCTCCATGTTCCCAACAAAATCTGAGATGATTTCAGAAAGCATTTCTTCAAGAATCTTTGTATCTGTGTAGACCAAGGGTGGGCAAACATTTTGACTCAAGGGCCACATCAGCTTTTTTGGATATAAGCAAGGGGCCGCATAGTATATGCATGACAAATGAAGCTTTGATTGATTTTTTTAAATTTTATTTATTCTAAATTGACTCAGTTACTACTGTATTGTATGAGTACTTGTACATGGAAGTATACATGGAAGCTCCATTCTTGTACCATCTCTACCTTTTTTTATGAGCATATAAGTTGATTGATGTGTAAGTCACATTTTATCATTTCATTCAGAAATAATGTAAAATAAACTAAATGTTTGCAAACATCATGTATTTTTCTTCCCCTCCACAACAAATCCTTTAAATTTTGCAGTATTCAGAACAGAAAAATGAATGAAAAATACAGGCATAAAACAAACTGAAATTATACTTGAATTCATTATAAACAATTATAAACCCCCTTTTATGAAAGCCTAAACTAATATATTTAAAGGGGTCATATGATGTTGCTAAAAAGAACGTTTTGTGTATTTGGTGTAATGAAATGTGGTTATGCATTTAAGGTTAAAAAAACACATTATTTTCCACATACTGTACATTATTGTTTCTCCTCTATGCCCCGTCTTTCTGAAACGCGTCGATTTTTACAAAGCTCATCGTTCTGAAAAGCGAGGTGTGCTGTGATTGGCCAGCTATCCAGTGCGTTGTGATTGGCCGAATACCTCAAGCGTGTGACGGAAATGTTACGCCCCTCACCATACTGTGATGATGCCCTGTCCGGCCGGAGCGACGAGACAAACACATTAAAACCCATTATAAACCAGGCATTTGTTGCATCCAGTGGGGACATAATTACTGATTATAATGACTTATACTGTCTTTTTACGCATTGCGTTGCGTTGCAATGCACAACTTGCATTAGTGATCGGAGAAGTGACAAACAGCAAGCGCTACTCTACACTGCCCAAAACTCGAGTTTGAATCATCAGTGGCAAATCCTTTAAATGAAAACGTACTTATTGATACGTCTGTTATCGGTCTGTGCACAGGGAGCTCCAGCAACCTTAGTTTTTCCTGCAAAGTATGAAGTCTTACGGCACTTCGGTGGAAAAACCCAGTTACACGTCG